TAAAAGACGAACGCCGCCGACGTGGCAGAGCAGGTTGTCGGTAAGACAAAGATCCCCGCAGATTAGCATCAACACGACGTCGAGAGGAAGGGGGAGTGGGAGGAGGAGAGAATGAACGAGCCTGCCGACGTCCCAATATAGACAACGAAGACAAAGGAGGGGCCGTTCGCAGCCGGCGGGGGAAAGAAGAATAAGAGGACGAAGAAGAAGAAGAGGAAGAAGAAGAAGAAGATATATAGATTTATCCATTAAGAACCCCATACATTTGGCCACTCGCCACATCCTCACCAGCTTATCCCGGTGACGATAACGGCAAAGCGGATATAAAGGGATCATCCCTGCCACTCTTCGCCAAAATGACTCTGAAAATCATCGTCACCATCGACCATGAGCTTAGGTAACGAAGCATGTCACCATCATCATCATCATCATCATCATCATCAACACCACCACCAACTTCATCATCGACATCATCGTCCGTCAGGTCACGCGGCATGTCATCGTCAGAGCATTCTTGGCAGCAAAGAAGAGATGCGACAGGTGCAAAACAAAACAGGCACCAAGAAAGGAACGAAAAGACAGCATAGTAATATACGCACCCTTGGTAGAAGCCGGTAAAATACATGACATGTGGCACCACAGTGGAACACGGATTTCGCGTCGCCTATGAAACCCAGAATGTGTATAAGCACGTCGTCAGGAAGAGATGTGATGCGATCCACATTTTCCGTCTTATCCTTATCCTTATCCTTATCCTTTAAGGAATTATCAGAGGTTTTGTCGTTCCCTCCAACTCTTCCTCCGCTTCCTCGATTTCCGTCGTCGGGACCCAGACCAATACCTCGAGCATGAGCAATATCATCGGGATCCCGATGGCTGTTATCCTCCTCCTCCTCCTCCTCCTCCTCCTCCTCCTCCTCCTCCTTTCCAACTAGCTGCATTGGCATTTCTCCTTCGGGAGTGACCATAACTATTATAATAAATTGTCCAGCTACAAAAAGTCCTGCACCGTGCACAAAAAGAAGAAACAAAGGTAAAAAAAGAAGAAGAAGAAAAAAAAACAG